CACAGTCGGGCTGGTGACTGAGGCCTGGCTTATGAAAGAAAATATACTTGGGATTTATTCATGGGTTTCCAAGCTATGGCAACCGTCCTCCGTAGCCACAGCAATTAAGCTATTCAAATCAAAATATTATGTCTTTTAAATGTGGAAAAGTCCTCAACGGATCCTCACAACGTCCTACAAAACGTCTTCAAAAAAGAATTGTTAGTCTCTAATCCCTAAATAGCCATTTTACACTATAAACTTCTCCAATAGAGGGTCTGCAGCCTGTTTAACTGATAAAGATGATTTTTAAATAGCATTAAAGTGATCTTGTTAATACCTTGACAAACATGCATTCTTACTGTAAGTGAGCTTGCCTCTCCATAGAGCTGACGTGTAATTTGATCTTTTTGCAAGAGTGCATACTTTCTATGGATATTATCAGGTTGCATGCCTTACAGAAGAGAACTCTCATGTATTACTGTATTTTTTTCAGATTAGAAGGTGCAATAATGTTGAATTCTCTCATCTATTTTCATACATAAAGCTCACCAGATTATAAGGCGCATACAGCGAAACAAACAGACGACACTTGAGACTGATCTCTTAGCCCAGGCATCCAAGATCCATTGACAGATCATGGTGTAATTCACCCGGTGTTGCCTCCCTGTGTTGGTGAATGTGGATTATGAATGTGAATGTGGGTGGATATATATATATATTTTTTTTTATTTCCTACGAGGAGGACTCAAATATACATATACGTAATAATGTGTTTAATGCAACCTTGTACACATTTGTTTACATTTTACAGAAACAAAACTTAAAACCACATAAGCTCTGAAAAAACTGTGATTTTGACAGAATTTTGAGTGCCGTGTACCACATAAAATCAGTTCAAGGTCAGTAAGTACAACCAGAATTAAGACATAAGGCACACCGGATTATAAAGTGCACTGTTGATTTTTGAGAAAATTTAAACATTTTAAGTGCACCTTATAGCCTGAAAAATATGGTACTCCAAAACAACATGGCTTTTCAGTATGGAGTTTGGAGTGTCCGCCCCATGTCTGGTATAGTGCACAAAGTTATGCTAAGACTTTGACTAGGTATTCCTATTCTGGTCAGACTAGGAGAAGGATCTTTCTGGGTGCCAACCACTCCTTTCTGATTGCTTGAGAAAAAAGGATTGACCAAATATTTTAGTCTTGCTTTTCTTTTGTATTTTCACATCTTTGTAGCACAACAAATCCTGACAAGAATAATACGTATCTAAATGCACATATGTTGCCTAGTTTTTCTAGTTTTTGGATCAACAAATGTAACTTAGTAGGGTACGCCATCAGTTTGTCTCCATGGAGATGTTATTGCTTTGTCAGAAATGCTCCACAGAATGGCATTAAACTTCCAGATATTGCATTTATTCAATTGCAGGTGTTTTCATATGCCTTTCCACAGATCTGACCTGTGACTATGTCTTGTTGCGTGGCCTTCATGTCTCCATGGAGATAGACAATTTTAATGCTTTGCTGTGAAACATTCTAGGCAACACAATAAAACTTCCATAGAGGCCAGCAGGATATCAGAAGTATCTTTATGTAACTGCAACTGAATGAATCATGAATCAAAATCCAATTCACTGAAAATTAAGACCTAGAATAATGGCAACATACCCAAATACTGAATAGCGTTTTTCAAATATTAGAAGTCTATCTGATACAACGATATTTGCTTTGTATTTAATGTGTGTAACAGAGCTATCATTAGTTCAAGCTGCTGAGCACAATGGTTTCTGATTGTGCAGTTTTAATCGTCCTCTTAGTAATTTTGCAATGCTGAAGTGGTGCCATGACAAGGTAAAGAGTGGCCCCATAAAATGAATTAATGGCTCTGATAATTGTCTGACGATTGACTTGACTTTAATTATGTTGCAGTTCATTTGTCCCACTACCATAAAGCACCTTGTTGAGTGTGAGGACTTCACTGGCAGCTTTACGACCAACCAGAAGGCGGCACAATGCTATCCAACAATGCAATATTAAAATGCCAGTGTGGAAGAAGAGCTTTTGATTATTATTTTTGTGAGTTTTTGTTTGTAGTGGTTCATATAATAGAAGTTATGGTTGGAAAAAATCAGTACTGCTCATTTAAAGAGGCACTGTGTAACTTTCTTCTGTTGAAGACTCCACCACCCAAATGTCTACTTGGAGATGTTATTGCTTAAGAATTAGCTAAGAATTAAATTGACGCTACTAGAAGTTATACACTGGATCAACAGAGATGTGATCCCATCATAGACTGCATGGACATAGCTAATCTACTTCCAAATAGGAAGTGCAAACATTTTGGACTTAAAATGTTTGTCTCAGGGTTCCCACGTTCAAGGAAATCCTGGAAAAGTCATGGAATTTTAGTATCTCTTTCATGCAACTAGTGTTCTGTTAAGTTATTATTAGGCTATTATGGCAAAGGAGAAATTTAGTTTGTCGACTGAATAAAAGTGTATTTGGTCAAATACGTTTTGCAGCTCATCGTATTCGACCAAAAAAACGTACACAATTTTCACACATTAGGCTATTATGATTATTTCCGGACATATACGCCTTTTGTTTAAAAGAGACGACAATAAATGCATTGACAGTATTTGGATATTAAAAAACTATAATACCATAACCATAAGGTGAGTGGAAAATTGTTAACATTTCACATTTAGCCCTAAAAGTATGATCAATTCTACACATGTAGGGTGCTGGAAAGTCATGTAAAACTCACTTTAGGTTATGAAAAATCATGGAAAGTTTTTGAAATTTTGTCCGTGAAAAAGAGTGGCTCTACAAGATACTGGTGTTTTTTTTTTGTTTGTAAATCCATTCCGTTTCCTAATATGGAACTCAGCTCCAGATTTGCTCCTATCACTGCTAGCCTCGTGACCTTCATTTGAGAGGTGCCGAATGCTATAAGTGACGTCACACTCCCTTAGTCCTCTTCAGAAAATTCACAAAGTGCACATTCAGTTTATTGGAGTGATTCAGGTTGAGTCTATCAGAACATTGACTCAAATGCACATATCTGTCATTTAGGGATAGACTTTTAATGCCCTTATTTGAATATTTTCAGAAATACTAAAAATGGTTGTTGTCATATTAAAAAGCCAACTCCTCAGGGCTACAGAGTGGAATTGCTTTTCCTAACGTTCCATTGCCTGTTTGTAAACTTCTTGTTGTAAGATCAATGAATGCCCATTTAAAATAACCCAGGGCTTTTGCACAGTGATCTATGACAATAATACTGTATTTTGATGTTTGCCGAGTGGGAAAAGAGCAGAAGGCAAAACTGCTGACAGTGATTGAGTTTCACATGCACAACTTACAACAGCATCAAGAAAGACCAAAACACAGTCCTCCAGAGTGTAGGTGTATCCAGATTGCAGCAATCATGTGTTATAATCAATCAACACTGTGCATGTTTAAGTAAAGAAGTGAATGCTTCAGTGGGTCAGAAAATGTCTACCAATCTGCAAAAATGCTCAGTGCTCTGCGAGGACATAAATGTATATTGAGAGAGAGACAAAACTTGTCTTTAAAAAGTTATACAGAATTCCTATATAAAAGTCCTTCATTACAAGGCGTTCAGTCTTGTAATACATTTTATCGTTTTTATTTTATGTTTTTTGGGGGAGCAAGTAAAGATTCAAATTCTTATACAATGGAACATGTAACATAAGTGAAACCATAATAGCAATTAAAATAACCACAACAAATTACTTTTATATAATTGCTCAGCGTGCCTCGGATCCTTCTGCCTATCAGTACAACTTTTTCAAAGCAAGTTTTGACTCTCTCATAATGTGTATGTTTATTTGAGATCTCATGTAGCTCATGAAAAATGGATTTGTGGGTTTAAGTCAACACTAGGGTTGTCTAAAATATACATACCCAGATATTAATCAAAAATAAATCTAGTATCGCAACTAGATATTCATTTGAAGTATCAATACTGAAAATAAAATCATACCAACACGACAAAATGTGATATTTCCAGAATAGTTTTAGAATACTCTTAGTCTATATAACTATTTTAAGATCACAGGGTAACAAAGAACTTATTTTGTACATTATACATTATATTGTCAAAAAATCATTGTGATATCAAAATTTATATCAGGTCTTTTCCTTGGTATTAAACTCAAATGTGAGAGACTGAATACTGAATATTCATCAGCATATTTACAAAGTGATGTAGAGTAAACTAATGTGGTAAGTTTAACGGATTAACCTCAAAGTGCCTCAAATCCCTGTACATTTTAATTTCTTTTCCTCGTCTTATGTGAGAAAAGTAAACTCTTTAATTTGTGCCTGAACGCGCCAAAGGCCAGCAAAGATCAACATGTTAATGAGACCTTCCATATTTAACAGCAGCCTGGAACAGAGGCACTGGAGTGTGCATGAATTCTTCACAGCAAATGGTTCAGAAATGACACAAGGCTAAGGCTCATAAGGTGATGATGTGAGGGACACATTGGGTAAGACCAGAGTACAGTAGGTCTCCTTTAAAGGGCTCATATTATGCTATTTTCTTATCTATCTTTGACAGACTAATAATGGAGGGTTACTCAAACATGTGTGAATGAAACAAAACACTGGTATGTTTTTTAAGGAGGTAACAACGATTCTACCATATCTAAAAGCTCACAAGAGTAAATTTTGCGCAATACAGCACCTTCATAAGCTTGTATCACTTAACTAATGAAATATGTGTTGTTAGTGCGTTGCTACAGCATATTAGTGAGTGGTTTAATACCCAGTTGCCATATGTGTAATTCAGTTAAGGCAATGCAACTCATAGCAGCCTCATTACAGCTTGACAGTTGCAGTAAACATCAACTATATCGTAAACGGATAAGGAGAGATTAGCTGCAGACAATTCCAAGTGTTTTACAGTCTCTAAACCGACACAACTCTTCCCTGAGCCCCGTGCCCGCAGGTCAAAGGTCACGTCCACAGATAAGGCGGGTAACTGACCGTGACTTTGTGCTGTCCGGTGAGGTTGGGCCATTCGCACAGCAGCTGGCTCTCAGACAGAGTGAGCACACAGGGCGTCTCCCCGATCAGCACCGTGTAGTTCAGACGATTGTTCCCTGGGGCTGCCGGGATCAAGTTACGACCCTAAAGCAAGAGAAAGAATAAAAATAAATACATAAAAGTCAGACATAGGTAAGAGAAGATGTTAGCACTTGTAGCTTTTTCTATGTTGCAGTGAATGATAAGACTCTATGTTGTTGTCCAGTTGTTTCCGTTTTGGTGTTTGTAACAGTGATCTAAAATAACGATTGGATAGTGTCACAGACAAATGCCTTCCCCGGTTAGATCTCCACAACAGCAGTATTTTTGGAGAAGCAGATCTGTGGTTTCACTGCTAATGCAAGTATCATAATCAACAGAAAATGAAGGCCTAGTAACATTACAAACTATACGTATAAAATATTGTGAAAATGAGATCATATCAACTTAACTCCTGCTTATCTAAAATGAAGATGTTGTTCGCATGCGTAAAATGCTCCACAGAATGGCAATAAATCAATCTATCAACAGGGCTTAATGAGAGGTTGTTTACATTTCCAATTAAATGCAATTTGTATGTGATCTCCAGTGTGAACTTTAAACCCCAAAAGTGTCCCACATGCCCACTGGAGGACACAATGATGTCACAGGCAGTGAGCATGTTCAGTGTTTACCAAAAGAAGTCGCCAAAACATGGACATCGCATTGAACACCTGGCCATTTTAAAGTTGCTGTCGTACTGGAGACCAAACATGTACAGCTTATTTATTTGAAGGAGGAGATTGAGAAGGAGATGGACGAGGTTTTGGGCCATGGCGTTTTTTGGGGTAGTGACAGCAACGTCCGTACAAACAAACTTGTGGGTGTGGCGTTGCAGCCCAGAGTGGTGGGATTGCGCTATGTGCTTTGAGGCTTCACTGACGCGGAGTTCATACACAATTTTCGTATGACAAGAAGAACGTTTGTGTATATTTGTAGGTCGGATGAATGCAACCTGTCCGTTCAGACTGAAGTTGCATGTCAAAAGATCGGATGTGTATCGGTTTTAGGACCACATATCCACGTGGCCTGGTTCGCATTTGAAAAAATCTGATCTGTGTCGTTCAGACTATCAGGCCAAAAAATTGGATATGGGTCAATTCAGGCTCCAGTTTGAACGCAACCAAAGTGAAGTTGCAAGTTAGCTCTATGGAGAGGAGTAGAATAGAATCCATGTTTTACTAATGCCATACTATGTAACATTCCAGGCCAAAAATATTATCTGCAAGGAAACAAACAAGTAACAGAACCCTTATGAAAAAGTTACGCATTGCACCTTTTACTACATGAACTATAGTCAATTTGTGCATAGATCCAAAAAAATATGGCATTTAGAAGAGTGAACCAGATAGTTTTGGTGTAGAGTCCCGCTTTAAAACAAGGATTGAGATAAAATATCTTAAGAATAAACTTAGACATTATAATGCATATCACGCAGCTAAACAAACTACACAAGGCTTCGGGCTGTTGAAAAAAACAAACTCTATACAACTGACACAATGCTACTGCCAAACAAAAACAAATTGCTTCTTCCTCGCTTGCCTCCACGTAGAAAACCTCTCCTATTCAAACATCTGTCCACTCCGCTCACCCTTTTCCATAACAATATCAACCCCACTTGTTCCGATCGGACACGCTCCCTCCGTTTGGGGTGTAATGAAAAGGAAACCAGAGAGAAAACAAAACTCGGCGGGAGGGAGGAGCACGCACAAAGCCAAAACGAGACCAGGAGAAGTGATGCTGAAGCCGTCAGGAACGGCGAAGGAGATAGCTGACGATTCCCCCCGCTGTTTTACCAGTAGGGGGACCCGGTGCACTCGGCTCTTCAATCCAACTGACTCCACAGGTCGCTACCGTAAACACCAATCCGCCAGTACCACACAGGCGAGGGGGGAGAGGAGACAGTCGGCAACATCAAAACATACAAAAGAGGTAGTGGTGGCAGTGGGGAGGTAAGTCTCTCACTTATTGCAGGGTAAAAGAACACCTGATGCACAAAACGGCGAATTAAACTGCAGTACGTTATTGTTGTGACACTTCGAGGTGCCACTTCTGCGATTTGCAACAACAAAATGGCTGGCGTTCGTGCTGTTAAAAATATAAAACTTTGGGCAAGAAAATTTTAAAACTTAAAATAAACACATAAAAAACAGCAACTAATAATAATGACAGCAATAATAACCGCTGGGGCTATTGGAAAAAAAAATAAAAATATGTTCTCATAACAATTAAACACAACATTTTGTCTATTAAAAAAATGTTGAATCATGTAGTCTGTCTCACTAATAGGAGAATAATGTTTTATGCAATTTGTAATCAAAATAGTTTTGAAAAATAAAATGTGTTATTTTTGTTCATATTTCTTTCAGTTGTTTGATTTATTTATTTTTTGTTCGATCCAGTGATGTGGACAAACCAACTGGAATTAAATAAGCAATTGAAAACAAAATATTTTATAATGTACTTTTGGTTGTAAGAATGTTGGTTAAAGAATTTATATTGTATCTTAAAGTCCTCAACATGGCATCTATTTCCACCTTCAAGGCTCTCAATGTAATCACACATATTCACACACGCTTTCATACACTAGTGCAGGATTTTCCTACTTTTTTTCTGGGGACCATGTTTTAAAAGTCACAAACCTTCGTGACCCAAGTCAATAGACATTATTTGTAAATCACAAAATAATGGTGGATTTGACCATTACTGATCAAGTCTTTCTGAACAATTAGTATTACTCAAGTGTTAAACAATGAAAAACAGTAAGTGAACCAGCAATAAAAGGATCCATAAGTCGCTTATTTGGACATTAAATATAGCCCATTTGTTTTCAACATTCAATTGAACCAGCAATACTGGAACAAAATAGTCAATAAAATAATTACAAAAAGATTAGAAATGATACAAAACTAATGAGACAGGAGGGCCTAGCTGCATTTTTGTAGCGTGCTCCAGGCCGGGGTGCAGGAGGAGAGTGCAGCAGCACATCAGGCACAGCATTCAGTCTGTTTCTGTGCTTTGCCTTCAGTTTGGTGAGCACAAAAAATTCAATTTCAGACATATATGTAGTAGTGAAAGGAATAGGCGTAGAAATACTGGCCCTACTGAGGACAGGGTATTCACTCACTCTCTCATGTGTCAACTGTGTATTGCAGATCTACATGCAGATAGTGGCAAGGCAGCCCCCAAAAAAAATCTCTTGCAGCCCACCTGAGGGAAACAATTCACTAGCGTACGCAGACACTGGGGGCGTGGGGCGTTAAGTGTCTTGCCCAAGAACACAACGACACCTGTGTGACAACTATGGGAGCTGGAATTGCATCGCCAACCTGTGGGTGACCGGATCTGACCGCTCAACCGATTATGTTTATGTCGAGAGCTGGATTTGGACCATCAACCTTCAGTAGACAAACGCTCTACGATCTGAACTACAGTTGGGTCCATTACATGAAAAAGATGTGGCTGCAAATACAAATACACAAAACTAAAAAGCAAGAACTAGTGATTCTTGTTGAAGTTGTGGTCTTGCTTTGTCAAAGGTCTAAACCATCCAAACCAACGTATAAGAGGCCTGAAGACTCTATTGTCACGTATACATTTTACACAATCAATTTTCCTGCGCACGGGAGCATGTTTATTGCCATGGAAAGATTGAAAGCAGCGTAACCACTGCCATTTATTTCCTAAATGATCATTTATTAGCAGCGAGCTTCTGGGTAATTGTCAAATCTCCTGCTTGGCTTGTTGGAAGCACTGATGAGATGGACGAAAAAATGCAATTTATTAAAGGGGAGAGCCGTTCTGGAGGATTCTCGCCACGCAATTAATTTCCAATCTCAGGCGTCAGGTGCGCTCCGTACAGGAATGAAAGGGAGATTTACACAGCTACGCAGGCAGCTTATGTGTTTGGGGGCGAGGGTAGGGGTCCGAGGTGGGGGGCTGGAGGAATGGAGCGAGATAGCCTTTATATCCGTATAATTATTTTCTCTCGATTTCTGCATGCTAACTGTTCGCAAATAACATGGCCGCAAGCTTTGTGGTGAAGTAAATTAAAGAAGCTACTGTATTATACCTTCTTTTATCTTAACACCAACCTGGGTTAGTTCTACACTAATATAGTGGCTCTTTTGTGCTAATAAATACAGAAAGTAAAAAAATAAAAATAAATTGCTGTAATGCTTGTGAGATTGGATTAATTGGGTATGAATCAACATTTACTGGATTAAGGAGTACTATTATTGCAATAACATATGCAATAATGTTAAAAATGTATTTAAAAAATTATAAAAATGTAATTATGTAATGTAAAATGTAATTATAAATCGTGAACGATTAACACTTAATGTTTATACTGAGATATGTGTACAATCCCTCAGTCGTCCAGGTAGAATACATGGCAAAAGAAGAAATTTAATTTGTCAACTGGACAAAGGTTTATTTGGTCAAATATGTTTTGCAGCTCATCCAACCTCCTTCCTCAGTTCTGGTCAGATGCTGGTGGACACTGTGTCCGAAGGGAGGAGCTAACTACAATGAAACTAACACCCTACTTGTTTATAGTTTCTGTTAATTAGCTAGGCCTATTGAGCTGTACTGAGTGTGGGGTCATATTAGTTAGTAACAGTGAGGTACAGATCTTAGTCAGAGAAAATAATTGGTTTGAGAGGGGAGGTAAAGAAGCAATTTTTGTTAAGAAAGAAAATCCTTCCTTAAACAGAAATGGAGGCCTCAGACACCACCTATCTCCTATTTACAACTCCATCCTCAAACCTAAATCAAAATGGGAATAACCAGGTCAGGTCCAGAGGTGTGAAAGCACCAATTATGCGAAATGTAAATCCAAATAAACTTTTGTCCAGTAGACAAATTGAATTTCTCCTTTTGCCACATCTATACTTAGATGAAAGTGAGTAATTGCTTTATTGTAATAATTGCTCACTATGCATATCTATTTATTTTATATTAGAACACATATGAACTATTTGGAATCAAGAAAAGAAATAAAGTTTCAGTATAAACACTAAATCAACTTTCTCTTTTTTTGCTTCTTAACTCTGTATATGATATGGTGGCATTAAATCTGCAGCTTTCTGTTCACAAAAGGCCTAGATCTAAGTTTGTACGGTCTTCAGTGGTCTCTGTAATTTAGAGTAGTTTGTGACATCACGGAGAACTTCCCTGATTACAGCCATGTGTTTCTGATTAGAGACTCTGTAATGCTTCATTTATCCGGAAGTGATTCAATGTAGAGGTTTCATCAGTGAAAATGGCTTCTGGATAGGAGCCGAAATGTCTTGATCACATAAACAGAGCCCAGATGATCACCGATGAAAACATCTACAGCGACACATGTTCAGCCAATCACACTGTTCTTTATACCTCTAAACGCAGCCCCTCACTCTCCACTTTAGTCCTCCAGGTACTGCTCAGTTTAGCAACTCTATTTAAAATGTAACTGTGGAAAGAGAATTGTTCATCTTTATATTTAGTACAAAATGAAAAATACAAGGACATGAAGAAAAAACATACAGATCCAAGAAAGAAAAAAACGCCAACTATATATATATATATATATATATATATATATATATATATATATATATATATATATATATATTCATACATATATTTACATAAACGTGGGCTTTAGAGTGTCCAATAGCTCTGAATAGGAATACACATTAACAAAAGCTTATGTTAGACTACCTTCACGGTGCCCGATAGCACGAGGAAATTAATTACATAAACTGAAAAGAGTTATTTAAGTGGGCTTCAGGCTGCGGCGAATAAACAAAGTGGTTAAAGAAGTGACTGAAGGACAAACATCGGCCTTGGAAGGTGAGAACTTTCAATTATAAAACTCAACCCAAGAGCATATAGACCTTGTAAACAGGCTGGAGTGTGGTCAGAAGTGCGAGGAGAAGGAGCCATATGGGTGCATGTGTTTGGGGGCGTTCGGCCATTATAAATACAAAATAGGTTCGATATGTTTGGACTTGAAAGTGAAGAAGGTGCCAGAGAAAAACAAGCGCGAGGCGGGAGTGGAGTTCAGAATGAAATATTTAGCTAGGTACCTGCGTGGGCAGAAAATCACGCCAACAATCGATCAATACTTTGGCATTGAACTGGATGAGTAATTGGTTATATACATTTTGAATTTATAGTTTAGTAAGATGATTGCACAATGAGTAGAATCTTATATCAGTATTTGGAACTGTATACTGCATATTTTCGTCAACCATGTTCAAAGTACACAGTAGGGCTGGGACGGCAATCAAATTTTTATCGAGATCGTCAATCAATTAAATCAAATAAAATTTTGACTGAAAGTTCTACAGCTAAACTTCTGTCAGTAAAAGAAGAAATTTTACACATTTTTATGTTGTATGGCACTCATTAAAAATCTGTATTGTGTATGTATATTAAGTCAATACTGAAAGACATTTTCATTTTGTTCAAGCAAAAAAGAAAAAAATCATGATCATTATATGGAAAAAAATAAGTGATTTTTTTGCCCTATTGCTGTAGTTCAAAGCATTGTCAACTATCATCGAACACTGATTCAAATTTGGTTAGATTGACAGCCTATAGGTACTATATGCTGTAAATGCAAAAAGAATTCCAGATGTAGATCATTATTACTACTTTTATTACTACTAGAATTCCAGATTTAACGTAAAACTATCTGAATTTTCCTATTACTGTATTTTTCGGTCTATAAGGCTCACCGGATTATAAGGCGCATTAAGCGAAACAAAACAGTCAGTTAAATCAAACTTAATTTTATTGGGAGATTTCGGCATCAAGCATGCACAGATCCCTCTTGTCATTATTGAGTCAGTCTCGTAGCTGTTACTTAGCTGTTCCGTGATGATTCTGGCCTTCATGAAAGCTCAGACAACACTTGAGATGGACACCTTAGCCCAGGCATCCATTGGCAGATCATGGCACAACTCGCCCGGCTTTGTCTCCCTGTCTTGTTAAATGTATATTATTCGGCGAAGGCTCCTAACTACAGTGGCTGTAATGCTCTGACAATCCATCAAGTGGTGTGGTTTCATCAGTTTACCAAAGTTGTACTAAAACATTTTGACAGACTTTTGAGCACCGTGTACCACATAAAAGTGGTTCAAGGTCAGTAAGCACAACTAAAATTAATACATAAGACTCACCGTATTATAAAGCGCACTGTAGATTTTTGAGAAAATTAAAGGGCTTTAAGTGCGCCTTACAGTCCGAAAAATACAGTACTCAAAGAATGAGTGTTGATGTTGACAACAGATAAAAAGGTGTGGGGTTTAGTATTTACTTCCTCCCAAATCTGCTTGACATTTATTTTTTGTATTATATCTATGTATTTACATTTGCTATGCATGTTCTGTGCATTACTGTCCGAATAAACATTCACTCAAAATGTTCTTCAGTAAATTTGCTGTTCAATTACATGACTGTTAGATTGTGCAGTGTTTCAAACTTTATAGCAAAGTGCTACAAGCTAAGTAAAGCAGCATAACATTACTTATTTAATTTTTGATTCCCAGTCAGTTTCCCCATCAAAGCCAATTTTGACTTACAAAATCTCACTTTTATAGATCCTCTTCATCATTATACATCTAACATTTTCAGATCTTGTTGAATCATTGACGTTCCTTCACATCGTGTATATTTGCCTCTGAAACCGCAGGTGGTGTGTACGGACAGGACTTTCATGTCGATTTCTCACCTTGAGGATGAGCGGAGAGGTGGGCTTGAGTTCCAGTATCCCAGTTGGGCTCAGTGGTTCAAACACGGGGTCTGGGTAGTAGCTGAAAGTCTCATTGACCACCACCAAGGCGTTCACGTTGTCCATGTAGAATCCAATCTCATCTGGACCTGTGCCGGTCTCTGCGAATCCCAACTCGGAATCGGCCACGGAGGGAGCCAGGCACACCATAACTGAGTTGTTGTAGACTGTGCAGTTCTGTAAATGAAGGGGAGATACACAATGTTATGAAAGTTGCTGTGTATAATATAGATAGTATTAAAGATCCTATATCAGGGGACTCCAATCTGTACCAGTAGTTCTCCACCCACTCCAAGGCAGCTCCCCAAGGGATTTCTGAATTCTATGTATGGTGCTGAATAAGTAAAATTTGATCAATTATCATTGAAAGTGTATCATTTTGATGCCTAACTTTGTGCACTGTTAAATGGATAATGGTTTATGTTTTATAGACATCTAACTGTTCCCCGTCTAAGGCTTGCAGAGGCTCTTATGTATACTCAGTTTCTTTGTGACAGCTAAAATAGATAGCTCTCTGGCATTTTTGATTTATACAAGTAGCTCACTGGAGGAAACACATTGGAAACCCCTCTCCTATATAATGCAAAATTTACTCTTGTGAGCTTTAAATCATGTTAGAATAAACCTCCTCAAAAGTAGACCTGGAGTTGTGTTTTGTTTCATTCACACATGTTTGAGTAATCCTGCATTATTAATCTGCCTACATATCCAAAGCTCAAAATGCTCTCAAAATGTCATGGAGGGAGAGTTTTCAAGTTAACAGCTACCTTTTACCTTTTGTTTAGAAAAGATTGGCAATTCCAAAGCTGAAATTAACCAAATGATTCTAGTGAAGGTGTATGGATTTTAAGAGCACAGTGGAGCACTTTCTGTATTCCCACATGACATCACAAGGTGGAACAGAGTGTTTTCTATTTGAGAGAAGAACACCTCTACAAATATATTCTGAAATGCATGGGACTCTTGTATTAGTTTCGGTTCTTATTTCAGTCTTCTTTCAAATGTTAATGCTCCTGGAGTTGTTTACAATGGACACTCTGACTTTTTAAAACATATAACATAACTCACAATTGTAATCTTCATTGCCATAATTGCTGGAAATTATTATTATTACTTGAAATTATTATTATTACTTGAAATTATTATTATTACTACATGATGTATTATTTCCTGCACTCATAAGAGATGATTTTAAGTGTTGTTTTCTGTAAATAGTTCTGCCATCTCGTATCCTGTTCTAGATGTTAATAAGATTAGGCAAAATAAGTGTTAAAACTTCAGTCTAAAACCCTTCAGTCTGTAGCATAACTTTAGTGACATTTAATTCTGGTGTTAAATCATCGTATGCTTATGTTAATTAATCCATGTATCATTCGTTCATTCGTTTTTCAATTCCTGGTTTCGTGACTTAAACTGCGATGCTGGACTTTTGCGCCCCATGAACCAGGACTAAACCAGGACTAAACCATTTTCAGTCCTGGTCTCATTCCAGTCTCAGTCCTGGTCCCGGACTCAGTCTTGGTCTGGTCTCGGTCTGGTTCCAGTCTGGTCGGACCTGGTTTAGTCCTAGTTCAGTCCATATGCGCCGCAAAATCCGGGATCGCAATTTAAGTCACGGAAATGGGAAACGGCTACTATCTGTTTTTTCCATTATTCATTTAAACACAAAATCGAAAACTGAAAAAAAAATGAATAGTTATCAATTTACTTCACTTTGGTTTTGGAGAAATAATGAAGAAAACAGTTGTTTCGTTTTCTTATTTTTGGTTTTATATTGAAAAACGAATGAACGAATGATATACGGATTTTAATTGACCGAAGAAAATAAACTAAATTTAACTAAATGTGCTATAAAATTCTTAGCAGTACATTTTTTACCATGTCTCATATAATCATCTTATGTTTTTCTGTTTTTCTATTTTTCTTTTTTTCATACTCATTCACCTATGACTGAACTTAATGTTTTATAATAAATTGCATGTACTAGTATTGTTAAATTCAACATGTTCTCAATAAATCAACCTCCAGCTTCACGATCTGTTCATTTACGAGTACTACATTATCACACCATTTGAATTAATCCTCACAACTGCAAGTCAGTCAGTACAAACAGACAATCAAATGCGTCAGTAACAGAACATAGGTAGTTGTATCGGCTTAGTCCTGCTCCACACTGCGTTCCTAAGCTCCAGTACGAGCGCAGGAGACAGAGGAGAGGTGTGTAAACAGTGCAGCTAATAAAAGCCCTCACATCTCTGTCTTAGTGCTGCTGACACTCTTTATTGGAGACACTTGTGCACAGCGTTGACATTTCAACAGTTCTGGCCCCAGGTAGTGTGACTGCCTGTCTACCACCTCCTCTGCTCCACGCACTCGGAACATTCTTAAAGGGACAGTTCATGGTTTTGTAAAAGGTTAGCTGCTATGTGCATTGTTCGGGATTTAGTTTGTGTTAGCCTCTGTGTTTCCAGTTGAGTGTTTCAGATCACATCAACATCACTCAGGTCTAGGTCAATGTGTTTTAAGCTTTTATGTTTTGCATATTTCATGGCAAAGTGCAAATGAAACACTGGCCCTTAGATTATAAAAGAATCTGAAAATCACTACAGGGTTATTTAAGATTAGAGAAGCACCAATCCATATTTTTTAGTTCCGATACCGATTTCAGTGCTATGGGTTTAAGCGTCTGTCAATCTCTGATATCAACCAGTACCAGATCTGACAGTGAAAACAGCATTTATTTCCTTTAAGCCCAAAAAATGATCCATACCTTCAAATCAGTTTTGTATAAGTACAAATTCTAACGCTGTGAGACTTTCTGGGCCAACTATGAGTTATGTTAACACTCTTATTACATCAATTTATACTTCCAGTCAGGATATAGTTTGAACTGATATTTGGAAGCCAATATCAGATACAGCGATTTTTTCAGGATTCATGCTGATATACAGTAGCCAGACTGGCGCCACCTAGTGCTTCCGCTCAATTTAATTTCTCTCCAGCGAGTAGGTCAGGAATCGAAATACACTAGACGGTTTGCAAGAACCCCGGAAGTTGTAGAGCGCACACAGGCCAATCAGCGAAGAGCTGTGAAGCCATGATGTCAAACTCAAGCACCTGTCTGGGTCCCTTTTGTAGTACAGCTCAACGGTAGACAAAGCGGTCGAGATGGATGTGGACGAAGCCATACATTCTGTGTTGGCAACAATTCCTGGGATCGAGGATTTAAAGCCAGAACAAAGAGAATGTTGGATGAATTATCAAGGGGAAAGGCGTTATTGCTCTTTTTCCCATGAGACTTGGCGCATTATATACGTCACTACGAAATAGCAGCGATTGCTTAAATAAAAAAAAAAGTACCCGCCTACTGTCGAGTGAATGAATCCTAATGCTGCCAGCAGAGGGCCCTAGAATTGCAGTAAATTAGTTTGCATGAAGTTTACATAATTGTGGCTCTCAAAAAACTACGCAGCAAAAGGTAATGGAGTAATGACATAATATGGTGAAAGTGTATGTACTTTAAGTTTGAGCTCTGGAGAGGAAGATTTAGTAAAAAAAAAAAAAATGGATTACTGAAACATGTATGAGGCTACAATATTATAGCTAAAAACAAAAAAAATGGTTGCCCTGTTTTTACACGCAGTGAAAGCAAATTTATGAGATGGGCTGTTTGGAGTATACTCACGTGGAATGATTCGGCCTGTCCATACTTGGCCCTGATCTTCGGCTCCCTGATGGTTGCCAGATTGGTTCCACTCACGGTCAGCAGAGTACCACCACTGTAAAAGAAGATGGGACATTTTCACATGATCGTTTTGTTACCATGTCAAGCCATATCCTGCAATGAAGTCTGTACAGTACGGCAATGTGTTCTCTATATTTACAGTTATATTTAACTAAACCACTTTTAGCTACTACTTGGACTACGTGGACACACTGAACCAGCTGCATGGTGATTTATCAGAATTTATGCCTGATGTCCTTCCTGTCCCAACCAGCTGTCCTTAAGGGGTTACACCACTTTTTAGGACACCACAACCATATGTGCTTTGGTTGCACACTATAAGCAAATGCAATAAATTTAAAGACAAATTTAAGTATATTAAGTATTAGGGATGTAACAATAACTGAAATATCGTGACATCGTATTGTCAAAAGTCTCACAATAATACCATGGAGCGTCACAATATATCGAATTGCAAGTTCCTTTGCTTAAATGCATTTTTTTATAGTACCAACAGCTAATAGGGAACTACATATCCCATGATTCATTTCAGACCAGACAACATGAAGAAATATGTTTTTACTTGAATTCTTGGAATTATGACAGTAATAATTCACACTAAAATCTTGTGAACATATTTTAAAAGCAAAAAAGTGTCCTATATACAATTATATAAGCCCATATCGCAATAAATATCGTACCGTGAGATGCATATCCTGATAATATCTTACCGAGAGATTTGGATATTGTTACATCCCTATTTAGTGTGTGTGTGTGTGTGTATATATATATATATATATATATATATATATATATATATATATTATATATATATATATTATATATATATAATATACACATTTTAGATAGCTGTACTATTTTCCCCATGTAGTTGAGCAAAATTACTCTCAGTACAGACATACTGTAAAAGCAGCTCTTAGGATAAGAATAAGACAGCTGTGTGCTGTTCGCATCTAGTTACAGTGTTTTATCATCCATGAACCAGGAAGTGTACATTAGCATGACAGTTGTTGTTAACATTTCTGTGATGACAAAACTCCATTCCAGCCTCTAAAACTTGTGAAAAGCACCTTTAAATTCATTGCAGTGAATATTTGAAACTCTAGGATTGCATTAGGATAGTGAGGAATAACTATGGACCACTGCAAACCATGAAAATGAAGTAGTTCTGTTTCCCATGTTTTTAACACCATAAAAATCAGACACAACATCTTTAAATGTATGTATATATAGCAGACAGCTTTACATCCGGGTCATGTATTAGAGACATTTCATTACACACATCTGATATTTTTAAACATTTTGGCACTGCTTTACTGAACCACTTCCCCATTCCCATCTCACACCTGCTCTGTTTAACACTCAGGACTTATAGTGAAATAAAACTCCTCTATTGGGGAGGATATTGCGATGGGAGCCAGTCTTGTAAAAGAAGCAGCTCTCTCCTTCACTTCTTTTTGATTTACGGTGTCGTCCTAATCCTTATCTGACCTCCTGGGAGCAGACTACATTTTACTATTCTCATTTTATACCTGTCTGACCTCTCTCTAAAGCTTGTCATGGTCTATCGCTATTTCAGCTGGCAATTAATTTTCAGTTAATGTAGTCATATATTTTCATATATTTTGTTTGTTTTATATTTTTTTCACTTTTGCTGTCATTTAGCTGTAAATTTAATGCATTTGGAATCTGAAAGTGGTGGATGAAAAAAAGAAGGCAATAATTAGTGTTAGATGTTGTAGTAACCTTTAGGTGTTAGTGGAATTACTAATAGGTTTTGTCCATATGACATTGTGAGAGGACAGGCAAGAATTTTATATTAAAGTTACAATGGTCCACCACCTGCTTGTCTCCATGGAAACGCTATTACATTGCCTGGAATGTTCCACAGTATGGCAATCAACACAACTATCGTATTCATGTATTTATAGGTGTTTCAATTTCTAAATTAAAAAAAAAAAAAAAATGCTTTAAACATGCAATGCAAAATTGAAATGCAAAATGTATTTTTATTTATTTTTTTATATTTTTTTTTACTATAGTAGTACTATAAAGAGGTGATATTACAATATTTCAGAATTGAGTTGTCAGTGTATTATTCAAACAGTATGCATATATGTGCTTTATGTTTATATTATATTGACTTAAAGTTTGTAGGGTCAAGTTTATCCTTATTTTTGCTACACTTTATAGTTAGTTTTTTTTTTTTATATATTATTTTAAGCAGTAAATGTTTTATGATACTTCATTATCCTTTTTTTTTTTATTCTTTCTTTATAAAATACCCAGGGTGCATTGCCTGAAATTTAGTGCTATCAAGTTTTGGTGTTTTCAACTTTAGTATGGTCGGACTTAGGTGCAAATTCTATCAGCATGGTGCCCTATTGTTATGCTGGGATGAGAAAAATACTCCCATTGGTGCATGGGCGTGTTAATATCTTTTCTGTCTGGACATTTGGTGAGGAGGAGGCGCACAGGTGTTAAGAAAATAGATTTCATTTTCACTAAACAGACTTTCACCTTTCATTCTATCATGCTGCGTGCTCTTTACATAACACGATTCTTAGCATTTCAAGGACCGAAATGCACTTACGTAACCAATAACAAAACTTTCTCGAAATGTTAAAATGATGTGATCAAAAATTTGTCTATAGCTTTATTTTTATCTTGTCTCCTCTGAGATGTAAATGAAAGCTTTACCAGAGGCGGACATGCTTTCTGCAATTATTGGATGTGTTAGATCTGTACAGTGATATAATCTATACAATATCAGGGACGTTTCAGCCTATCAGAAACATCTACTGCATACATTTGCAGAGGACGGGCATTTGGGGACAGACTATAGACTTAACAAGCAAATCTGCATACTCACATAGATATGAATGTTTATCAGGTTAGCTCCTGCCTCACAGAAAGCAGATTAGACTGTGTGTCCTGACTCTGAGTGGGCTTGCATCTCCATAAACCTGACTTTTATTTGTCCTGAAGAAGGGCCTCCTCCTGCTTATCTCCATGGAAATGTTGTCCCTTTAGTACAGCATGATTTTTCTGATTTCCATGGAGAAGGTTCCAAAGTATTTCTGGGTGTCAGCCAATTGATTCCTTCCTCATGTGAAAGATTTTGTGATGACCTTTCCCCGTTCAAAATATGTAAGATTTTCATTCAGATTGCGTTGTTACTACAACAGAGGGCCGCTGCAATGTCAGAACCATCAAACTGTTATAACTGAAACCAAGAAATAGTTTTAACAGTCAATTTCCATGGATTCATGCAGGTAAAGTGCCACCTGCTGAAGTTACCTGTAGCCTCTTACCAAGCAGCTGTATTTACTCAAGCAGGTTTGGGAGAATGTTCTGAATATTTCTGTCTAAAATCTCCTTCCTCCATCTCTCCTCTCCCGGCCTCCCCTCAGTCCCACATGAGTGCTCTTGACAGTGATTTATTTTTGAAGTGCTGTCTCTGTCCTGAATGGAATATCCCCATCCCTGCTCACTCATATCACACTTCCCTCTCCTCTTTCCTCTCCTCCTCTCTTCCCTGTGATGGTGTGATCATCATGCTTGGGCATGCGTGTCTCTGGACAATTCACAATGAGTCACACAAATTATATTTTACGATGGTTTGATTTTTTCCCAAGTACACATCTATGCTAAGACATGACAAGACATTAATAAATACAGAGAAATAAATTAAACAGGTCGCTCACAGGAAGTATGCATTTTTTTCAAGGGATTTGGAGCAATAATGCAAACATTCCACATAAAGAGATAACATCTCCATGGAGACAAACCACCACTAAAATGTTACACAATGCACCTTTAAATTGAAAAGCTTTCTCTTCTCACAGTCCACTGCGTAATTCCTTTTTCAAAATGAACACATCCTTTTAGGTTAGATATGAAACATTTTCATCTGAATAACCTTGTCCTAAATACAACATCTGAAGTCCTTTGTACTACACACTAGTCTTATCAATAGAAATGAAAATCAGACACTAATCCATACTAAAAACGTTACATTCACAGGACAGAAATGAACCTCGAATGAAACATGTATAAAAACTACACAGACTAGTATGGAATCACTAAGGCCACATGGTAATATAAAAGAAAGTGCTATGATTTACTGTAGAAAATCACATTCTATTGTCTAAATAAAGAGTATTTAAGAGCGTAGAAATCAAGTGTGAAATGTTTGTATCGAGGAAACACTACTATATATGAAACACCTCTGGACCAATGAGCGATAACATTAATGATAAAATATTCACTACACTTTTTTTAGCCAAAGTTTTAAGTTTGCTATTGAGAAAACTCTTTCTAATTGCAAACCCAACCTGACACCACACAACTCCAAAAGTATCCCCTTCCAGATAAACCTTGTTAGCTAACCATACCACAAAAGTTGCTGGAGAAACACGAACTTTCTAAATTGAAACCTTTCCGAGACACACACGTCAAACCTGTTCATCTCGCTAGTTACCCCGAGTACCGCACCTATGTGTCCATCAGCCCCGGCTCGCTGATGAAGAGCAGGGGCCCAGACGCAATGCATTGTAGGGAATCAGCTGTTTGTTTCTCTTGGCGGTGCCCCTTCTGGTTCTTGCCCCACACACACTGGCGTACGCGGCTCGGCGGGAGGGCGGAGAGGTGATTGGGGCGCAGCTGCCCATCGGCCCGTCCCACAGAGAGTAAAGGGAACGGGGCAGAAATCAGGAACGCTGGCCTCTAACAAGCTCCGGTCTGTGTACCTGCTCCAGCCACTGATGAGTCACTGCACGGAGCAGGCAGGAGTAGGCAGGAGCAAACAGGAGTAGACAGGAGCAGGCAGGAGCAAACAGGAGCAGACAGGAGCGATGCAGCATACAAACTCAAATCAGGCGAGAAAAAAAACAATGGTGAGTATGCCAAAGGTGTATTAAAGAGGGGGTATTTTACTTCTGTGGTGTATTAACTGCTAAATCATAACATATTTAGATCACCATGTTACTTTTTATTATTTTGAAAATGCTATAATTGCTAAAAAATAACATTATAACATGGTTTATAAGCTTCATTTTCCCGAACTGTTGTGTGGGAGCATGGATAATGTTGACTTGTGGGTGGAGCATTGGATAGAATCTTACAGCTACCCCCAAGAAAGGTTCAAATAGGGCTCAGGAGAGATCGCTAGATTACACAAACAATAGTAAATCAATATTACTCTGGGTCGAGATAAAGTTTGAGTCTAAATCCTAGTACAAAAGCTGCTGTAGCGTGCTGGGGCAGTGCACTGTGGCTGGTTATTTGTTCCGTAAAGCATTGTTAGAGATCTCTGGGTGGAATTGTTCTTGGGCATTCTGAGGTACACCGTTCTCTGACCATCCATATCTGCAAGTGCACTGGGGCTCTTGAATGTTTATATGGGAAGTATGGAAGTATGTAAGTAAAAAAATAAGTACTAGTTTAGCCGTGTGATAATAAACTGCTCTCACAATCTTCTCAAAATTGCCTTCCTTGGACAGAGACATTGCATATTGTTCTATATCTCTATGTATATCACTTTATTACTCGACTTATTGTACTAAACCAACACAACAAATGTTCAAACTTTCACAAAAAAACATCAACTACCCGAGTCATGCTGCAAGTCCCAGTCTCTCCTGTGAGACATCCACCCACCTTTGGAGAGACTTCAGAAACGGCACGAAACTAAGAACTGGAGTCGGCAACCATCACATCATCTACTACAGTGTGTGTGTGACTGTGTGTGAGTGTGTGTGTGTGTGAGAGAGAGAGAGAAAGAGAGGGAAAGGAGAAGGAGGGGGAGAGAGAGAGAGAGAGGGAGGGAGAGAAGAGACAGAGAGAAAAAGCAAAGAGACAGATTGCGAGAGAGAGGAGGAGAGATGGGGGGAGAAAACAGGAGCGATAGGGAGGGAGAGACATACACACAGAGAGAGAGAAGGAGGGAGGAGAGAGAGAAGGAGAGAGAGAGAGAGACAGACATACACAGAGAGAGAGGGGGAAGGAGAGAGAGACACACAGACACACACACACAAAGACAGGGAGAGAGAGATAGAAAGAGAAAGACACACATAAAGAGAAAGGGAGACAGAGAGAAAGTAAAGAGATAGAGAGAGAGGCAGAGAGAGAGGAGGAGAGATGTGAGGGAGACACACACAAGGAGACGGAAAGAGAGAGAAGGAGAGAGAGAGGGAGAGAGAGAAAGACGGAGACATACACGGGGGGAAGAGGCATACTCCAAGACAGAGAGAGAAAGCGAGAGAAGGAGAGAGGGAGAAAGAGAGAGACATATACAGAGAGAGGAGAAAAGGAGCGAGAGGGAGAGAGAGAGAGAGAGAGGAAGAGAGAGAGAGACACACAAAGAGAAGGAGAGACTGAGAAAGCAAAGAGATACAGAGAGAACGACGCTGAGAGAGACAGAGAGAGAGAAAGCAAGGAGAGGCACAGAGAGAAGGAAGGAGAGAGATGCAAAGAGAGACAGAGAAAGAGAGGAGGAGAGGGAAAGAGGGGCAGAGAGAGCGAGAGAGGGAGCCCGGGCTAGCCTCCCTGCCTGTAAATCCCTTTAATGTTCAACTCTTTGGCTGGGTCTACTCCCCTGCGATGCTGCTGTCATATCCGATGCTGACTAGTGGAAGCTCTTCCTTCATTTAGCCGCCACTGCCTTAAACCTCCTGACAGCTTGTGGGCGGACGGGGCTCAGAAACACTTAGCAAAGTTACGTTCCATTACCAAATGAATTTCTTGGCTGTCGGGTGATCGGCGGACTCCTCAATCACAAGCCTCGTTCAAACAATTAATGATCTGGATAAATTGACAGACTTAAATTTGCCCGTTTGCCGATTTCCACGGTGCAAAATGTCGGAGATGAAAAGTCTTCTGGGCGGTGTCGATTTAACTTCATCAAAATCCGTGTCAGAATTGCTGTCCATGAGCCGCCGACATGTTTTCGCGCTCACATTAGGCTTGTAATTGGATGTGACTTCTATTTTCGCCAATATAAATGGTTTGAAATTCCTCTCATATTTTGTATTCAAGTTATTCATTGAAAAAAATACCTTCTTGTTTTGGAGTATATTGCGCCTTTTGGTTGAATGAGATTGCTTTGAACAGAATTCCACGCACAGATGTTTCTTACCAAACAAAGTTGAACTATATTTGTAGTCGCATTCTTCCAGAACAATGAGCATAACGATGCATTGTAAACCTGCATGAGTTTCAAATGAAGGTGAAAATTAGACTGAATCAAACAAAGAAAAAAGTATTGGAACCCCAGCTTGCATCTCACCATTTTGTTGTATATCTGTATAAAATGCTTTTTTGTAATATTAAAGATGAAGTGCTTGATTTTCGTTATCTTCAAAATGCGAAAAACACAACATGACTAGTTCATTTAAAATGTTTTGTAGTGGTCCAAAGTTATTCCTCACTTACCTCATGCATTTCTATAAAAGGATTCACCATGATGAGTTTATAAGCACATGACTTTCAGAGGTTTCAGAGTTCTGCTGTCACGGCAACAACAACAACTAGCATGTTAACAGCACACTTCCAGATTCTTAGAGGATACGACACTTTGTAATTATGCTGGGACTTCCCCTTTGCCTGGTAATATAAAATCCAAACATTATTTAGGGCCTGTTTACGCAACGCTTGCGGGTAAAACGACAAAATATTTTATCAAAAGTAAATTTTGTTTAGATGGTGACGGCATTTTGGGGGCTTAAAAACGCAAAAATCTGAAACCACCCTCCATAGTGGAAAAATTGAATACTCTCCACCGTAGAGTTTCCATCTACACTGCCCAAGACGCAAAAGTCTGGTCCGGTCTGCTCACATCGCGTACGTGTTGACGTCACATAAATCACCACCTAGCCTCCTGGCATGCATACCCAATCGAATTCCACACACTTTTGCGTCACCGTATGCAGGAATAAAAAGTGAATACACAACACCACTTTTGCGTTTTCTGTTCAGACCATCATCATATAAACATAGCCTAAATCAGTTCATCAAGGGGTAATCCAAACTAAAGATACTAATAATACTACTACAATTGAAAAGTAAAGCAAAACACTGTAACTGGACATATACTGTACCTGGCAATGCTCCAGTCAGGCTCTATCTTGAGAACAGTGGGGTCCTCGGTGTAGTTGAACTTGACTTCTGGGTTCCTGAGTTCAGCTTCGTCTATGTCCACCAGAACTGACACACTACCAGGGGCCAGTCCAGCCGGGGTCACGCACACGATCTCACGAGCGTTTCTCCTGAACCAACAAAGACAACAGTTCACAATGTTAGCAAAAGACAAGTTAGATAAATGTTGGAAATAGTAAGAATGTGGTTGGACTTTACAGCACAGTAACAGCATTGAAATATAATGGAAATAGTGTGAGTACTAGATTTAAAGTTGTGTTTCCAATATATTAAATAAAAAGTAAATAAAAATTATTCTTGGTAGTTTAGTTTAAACTCATAATTACACTGAAGTAAAGCTGAATGGAACATATGCCCTATTTCCAAGAGTAATTATTATGTAACTATTAGCCTAAGGTAATTACAGTATTAATTACAATTCTGATAAAGTTTATTACTGCGCTGTAAAGGTATTGGAGTAGTTATTATTTTGGTCAATATAAAATATATAGAGCTCACATCAGAATTGTCAGTTTGTCTATATCAATGGAGATTTTAAGATGCTAAATAAAAAATAAAATATTTTTTAAAGAATATGTTGCACTTTGGGGCCATGTTTTATAAGCAAAAGTAAAAGGAGTTTTAGAAAATCCTTAACAATGGAACCGCTATTCAACTTTTTTGGCGCTACATGATCCATCAGTTGGAAACCACAACACAACTGAGCTGGAACATAACATTCAGTTTTGATAATTTCTTGCTTGAGTATGAAACAAAATTCCCTTTCTCCAAAAATAGATAATTTGAAGGCACAGTCAATAAAAGCATTTTGCATGGTTGGTGAAAAGTGACCACGGGCTAACATCTCCCCGCTCTGAAAAACTCTAATGCAGTGTGTTTGATTTAATTGGTGGATGGAAATTGCTGTAGTAATTAAACCCAGCATGTTACTTTCATTACACCAGTTGGAATCAACACATTACACACATAGAACATTCAATTTCACTCCCACTTCTCCACATTAGAGGTGCTTCTCAGTTTGAGCCAATTCTACATTTTCTATTAAGTTTGGTCGACGTGTGGCCAAACATTGCATGCAGGAAGTAGCAAAGTATTGTCCCCTTATTCAGCCAACTGTTTCATCTTAATGAATTGGCCACAACAGCAATTTACATAACAAATGATGTTTTGAGGAAGCTGTGAAGAACAAATGTTTTAAATTGGAAGTTTTTGTTTTTTTTTATTGGGTGTGGGCAGAGTGAAGTTACAAATAGGCGATGATTTGAGCTATTAGTGTTGTATTAATAATATGAAATGAAGTGTATATTCAATTTGTAAATTTTGTTCACTGGCAACAGCAATGGCAACTGATTCTGATTATACTGCGTATGTGTACATTGAAGAGGTTCTTTTTTTTAGCTGATATGATGATATTTCCTAATAAAAATAAAATAAAATTTAAAAATGTAAACGTCAAAAATGAGCTCATTCCTCTTCAATTTTATTCTATATCTTAAGGTGCACTATGTAACTTTTCTGGCATTATTAGTTTGATTTGAATGTTGTCATTAAACGTATCTATCCCCATGGGAATAGGCAAGTAGCACCACTAGAAGTCAAAGGTCAGATGTGTGCAGAGGCTACCACACTCACATTAAGAATGCATGTTTTTCAAGAATAACTAAAACACCCATAATGGCAAAAATAGTTAATAATAAATAATTAATAAGCTTAATGACATACTGTGGAACATTACAGGCCATGCAATAATTTGTCCATGGAGCCACGCAGGTAATGGACCTTTCATCAAAAAAATTACTTATTTGGGAAGAGGTCTAGGCAAGCCTTTTCCTGTTCCTATAAAATATTTCATCTGCTCCATTTGTCGCTGTCTTCATCTCCCCTTTTTTCTACATCATATTCCTTCTATCTTTTATGAGTGGATACAAGCCAGTCTCCTCAGAAGCCCCCAAACAGTATTCAGATATCACAGTCTGGAATGATCACCTCTATACATAATAAAGTTGTATAACACTGTATTTTGTGTGGTGTGGTCTTTGACAGTTCATACAGCAGTACTAGCACTACAGAATATTTTTGACCATGTTATGGCTAGTGATGAAAGAATACATTTAGTTAAAGAATAGTGAATACCCAGACTGAAATGTATTTTGTAATGTATTCTGAATCATGGTCCAATCAGAGTACTGTTTTCTGAATACTTAGAATACTTTCACAGAGAGCTGCATTTAAATTATAGTGTAAACATACAACATAGTATTAGGAGTAGCTTTGTTTCACTGATGAGAAAGAAAATACACAATAGCACACAGCATGAGAGCAGTGTTTTGTTTAGTTTTTTTTTTCTCATTGATTCTATGCAGCTTGAAGCCTAAATTGTATAATCAAGTACCATGTATTCCTTTGATTTTGGAAAAGTAACTATATTCTGAATACCACCAAATAACCAGTACCAGAATAAAGGTACAGGTACAGAGTTACTTCCCAACACTGTGAATGAACACTAGCCAGGTAACACTTTATAATAACTACACCTTATTTAGCCTTAATAAAGCATGAACAAAGACTTAATTAATAATGATTCACACTTAGTAACTACTTAATTACTCCCTGAATTAGCACTTAACTTGCACTTAATTCGCCTGTGCTGTAAATAGTTACTCATAAGTATTTCTTACTTAATTACTCATGAACTAACCATTTGTGTGTGCATTTGTAAATGTATATTTAAGTACAAATTTGAGCATTTATTAATGATTAGTAAGTAATTGAGAGAATGATTTACTAGTAATGCATTATTGTTTCTCTGGAATTTGACGAACCTTAACAAATGCTTAATAAAGCATAATTAGTCTTCACTTTAGAAAAGCTCTCAAAAAGACTTAACAGATAACAGCTGCCTGAAGTATCATTGCATTGCATTATTAGTAAATCATTCTCTCATAGCTTAATAATGATTAATAAATGCTCAAATGTGTACTTAAATATGCATTTGTAAAGATGCAAATGGTTCGTTCATGAGTAATTAAGAAGTACTGAGTTACTATTGACAGCACAGACGAATTAAGTGCAAGTTAAGTGCTAATTCAGGGAGTAATTAAGTAGTTACTAATTGTGAATCATTATTAATTAAGTCTTTGTTCATGCTTTATTAGGCTAAATAAGGTGTAGTTATTATAAAGTGTTACCCATTAGCCACTAGCCATTGCGCCCTACTACTCAGTGGCATCTTGTTTATGTCTTTATCCTAAGGAAAATATATAAATCTCAGTCATGCCATTTCATTTAGCATTTCTATTATTCCTTGAGCTGGCATGAAATACAGCTATATATACGATCCCATTCTTTAAGTGTTAGCATGTATGAGAATCAGTGCCTGGACGTCCCACGGGCAAAATAGCATTTCAATTGCAGTGTGGAGTGTGCTTTCCGGCAGTGACATTATCTAATATGTATTTAGCACAGTTGAGCGGCGGCTGCCTTTCTGGGCCATGACTTCACAGCACTCGAATATGTGTAGCATTCATTCCACTTTGCGCACGTATAGACTGCCACAGCAATCCCACTGGGAACAACAACGGCAATAACAGAAACACACCCCTCCCCTTTTAGGCTGTTACCATAGCAACCCCATTCAAACCAACCAGTACCGGAGCGTGCGCTGAGTTTTCGCAGCACAGGAGCACCGCGGCGTGTGCTGGATTACTATGAGCAGAAATGTGAAATGCTAAAACATCAAAGCTAGCATACATTGGCAGTAATAGAGATTAGCTGGGAGAGGCTAATCCCTTCATTTGACACGCAGCACAAGTGTGGAGATAGTCTGGATTTTTTTAAATGCGTGAGATTAGCAGAGGCTTGTGTGAGGGCAGACAAGGAGATACTCGGCTAAGGTGCTTACCGGTGAGGAACAAGGAGCATACAGAAATGATTTATGATTACATGAGTATCAGCAGCCACAATCCCAAATAGCTTTGCACTGGATATTTGAAAATAGATTTAGGAACAACAATTTTAACCCAAAACTTACATAATAGGCAAATGAGGTTTTAAAAATATGTAATAATGCATGAATTAAAATACATTTGATAAGTGAACCTATTTTATTTAAAAAGAAGAGTGTGAGTTTAAAGGGATTTTTTCTTCGTTAAAAGTCCAAAATTAGTGCTTCTCAAAAACTAACAGTGAAGTTGACCTGTGTCAAAATACACTGGCCCGTCCCATGTTTCCAATACATGCATCCCGAATTCATCATCGCGCACTGCATACTGGGAAGGGCCCTCCGAAAAAGTGACCATCAAATCAGCATGTTTGATTTCCCAGTGGGATGCAACTATGGTCAAAGCTGATCTTTTCAACTCTTTTGAACCATATCGCTTTTGTTTCTGGTTCTGATATTGTCATATTTTAGTTCTGGGATTCGGACATCGTAATTGTGTGGTTGTTGGATGTCCTAGCAGTGGAAAACGGCTTGAGAAATGGGCTTCAGAAGTTTGCGAACTCCATAAATGCAAAAGGGAATCAGATCTGTGTGACTGAAAACCTTATGTAACAGAGTGCCTCGGACCATTGTGACCAATTTTTATTCTACACTACAAGCTTAGACATCTTCACTGTTTGTTAAACTAATTTACTTCTAAACTTCTCATTTATAGTGGCTGCATATCATCCTTGATTGTGCTGGTTTATGGGGTTCCCCAAGGCTCAGTATTTGGCCCAGTGATCTTCTCTTTTGTTTGGCGCTGTTTCTACTAATGAAAAGAAATAGCTTAACTTTATATCCTGGCTGACACTATTTTTTTTTTTTTTTTTTTTTATATATCTTCATGCATTCAGAGACTTGGTAAACCTCACAGTTATTATTAAATCCCCATATCTCATTAATATTACATTGCCAGCCATAGGGGCTTAACTTGTTACTAAGAATAATTAAATCTACAAAATGACATTGCAATATAAAAGGGATAGTGGTTGACCTTTTTGTCCTGCTTGAGCCCAAACGGCGCATACTACTTGAAAGAAGAACTCCCTCTGATTTCATATCACGAACGGGAGGATAAAACAGGCCACAGTATCTTGGCTGTAGCGTCCTCTGTGATTCTTCCTCTAGTGATGACCCAGCTTCTTGACGGGCTCATTAACATTTCATTGAGTGTGGTGAGAGGAGTGGGGGAACATCTTACTTTTTGAAGTGGCAGGGCTGCTGTCCGATGTTGACATTCACGTAGCTGCCTGCATTCAGGTAGGCTCCCTCGATGGTGACCCTGGTCCCTCCAGAGATGGGCCCTTGGGAAGGCTGGATCCGGGTGAAGAAAGGAGTCTGGGGAGAACAGAGAGAAAAGTGACAGGGACGGAACTGGTTGAATAACTTTGGTCTGGCTAACTTCTATACTCTTATATATAAAGCTTGAATGTAACGTGTGACTGTGTAAGATCTTGTTGTTTTTTTTTAAACAGAAATTAAACCTTTTTTTTAACACTTGTATGAGAAATTTTCAGTGTTTTATATGTGATTTTGTTTTTTGTTTTTATTAGCAATGCACCAATAACTTCTCATAATGTATGTATTATGCATAACTTTCAGCTGGTGGCAAGTGACCTGATTCCACAGAGATGGAAGATTAAAGCAATACTTTGGAACATTCTCCATGGCAGTAGATACATTGTAAGTCTTATTGTAGAATTATTATCATTATTATAGCTGAACGATCAACAATTTCATGGAGACAAGCAGGTGGAGGCTCTTCTCCAAGCTAAATAGGAGTCAGGTTTATGGAGATGCAAGCTGGCTGACAATAAGGATGCATGTTTTGTTGCATTTTTATATATTCATATTTAATCAATATTCCATTTGCTTTTTACTAAAGTTTTTAAAGATAACTTTTTATATTATTGAGCCATACTTCATCCACTTTTCCTTGTGGATCGATACAGTTTGTATACGTCTAATCAAATTCATTGCATTATATCTTATCCCTGATTACTGCCATAACTTATTATTGATTACAGCAAGCAGCTTTAGGGTCTGCATTTGTCAATTTTGTTGCCTTTTCTTAGTTGAGGTTTCAGGGTTACATCAGTCCCTTTTTGCCTCTTGATGGTGAATACAATCTGGACAATCACGGTTCATATTCACATTGCTCGGGCGCCCTCGCAGGACCCACAGGATCATGCGGAGAACAGGCTCACTCACAGCACCGCGAGAAGCCACCAGATGTGCTTTGTCCTTACCACAAAGGTGAAGGGCCGGGGGGAGAGGGCCCGGTAGTCGCTGATGCAGTCCCGTACGCACACCTCCACCTGGGCCTCCTGCACCCTGTATCCAGTCGCGTCGTTCAGCAGACACACGATTCTGGAGACACAGGAGGAAGAATATGTAGGATTATAGTAAAGGAACAGTGGTGCATTACTATATACACGTTTATAAAGATTTAAAGGTTCCATATCACACTATTTCCTGATCTATGTTATCATGTCATTTCCTCATCAAAAACACACCTGGAATTGTGTTTTGTTTCATTCACACATTTCAGTCACACACTGGAAAAAACTATATCTTGTTAAATTAAAATTACTTAAATTTACTTTGAGTCAATTCAACTAAACAAGAAAAACGATCTGCCAAAGGAATAAGTTTTTCTTAATTCAAGCAACATTAGATTTTGTTTCTTATTTTAAGTGCAAAAAGTTGTTTTTCTTATTTTGAGTGTAGTAAGATGTATTTTCATATTATGAGTACAAAAAGTCTTGTTCTAGTGGCAGATAATTTTATTTTTCAAATGAGATTTACTCAAATCATCATCTTAACTTGGCTAGATTTAGTTTTTTGCAGTTTGAATGAAACAAAGCACAACTCCAGATATGTTTTTGAGGCAGCATTATAACAAATCTTTAAACTTACAAGAGTCAGTTTTGTGCAAGGTACTTCAAAACTGTAATGTGTTGTTTATTACTGGTTATTGTCATTTCAAAGTGATTTGTTACATTACAATATTACTGCATTTAAAATGTAAGACATTACACGACTATACAACTCTCACCAAAATAACTGTATGCCGGATACAGATTGAACTGAGGACTGAACCAGGACTGAACCAGGAACAAACCAGGACTAATCTTGGACTAGGACTTGGAATCTAGGACCACCCCTGAGAGCAGGGGGTCCACAAAGCATGACCGGGCGTCAGCTGCGGTTAGCCCTGTATGGCGCAAAGCTCTGTGCTGGTCCTTTCGCCCGCGGTTACCCAGTGGTCTACTCTGTCTGCCTGTCCCAACCGTAAGGATGGCGTTCCACTGCTGCTAATATCACGGTGATTTTAGCGAAATTATATGAAGAAAAAAGACATACTGACATTTGTACAGAGTAAAATATATATATATTTTTTCCCCGTAATGCCTTACATTACTGTGTTACAGCAAAAAGCAAGGCATTACAATAATTCATTACTTTTATAACACGTTACTCCCAACACTGGTTTTGTGCAATATAGGAATATGCAATTTTGGTATTGACATTCTTTTATACTGAACAACAGTGTGTGCTATAGAGATCTGTATATGTATATTTTTTATTGCAAAGTCATTAGTCTCGATAATTTCTAAAACAGATGGCTACCTTTTCAACCATGGACTATTCCTTGCTGAAAGAGATGACACCATCAATGATATAGTAAACGACACATAAATTGTATGATTTGTGTATATATGTGTTATCTTTCTTTGTAAATTGTCACACATTATAAGAGATGCAGCAACTCAGAGAAGGTGTTAAGCTCTTAAACTGAACATTCTATTCCTGCTACATGAATAAATCATTACATTACTATTGTGTTTAGAATTATCTCAACAAACATACACAAATAGCTTAGAAATTGTACAAAACATAAGGAAACATTGCTTTTTATGTTGTTAAATGTATCTAGATAAAGCTTCCTGTACATTCATGCTTGTAGCTGCAGTACATTTCTCTGCAGTCCCCATTGTACATAGCACCTCTCCAGTACAATGAAATCAATGTCCAGTCACATGACCATCACATGTACTGCACACTGCTGCAGATGCCTGACACAAAAGAATCCCACCTTAAACACGGCACACACTGAACCACTCCTAATATGGTGCTGAGGAAGTGATGCATGTGCGCTATTTGAATAAAGATGGCCGCCACAGGTGCACGCCTCACTTCCTCACTAAGTGCACTACACAGACATTGTTTGATCTGCGTGAACCCGATCCCTGAGGCGTGCGCGAGAAGCCAGACGTGTAAATGTCAGGACAGAGGCAGGCGGAAATGAAAGCGGAGAGGAGAGGAGGAGTAATGAACAGGAACAATACTGGAATTTACTGAGGAAACCTTGCTCTGACACTGTATGGTTGGTCTCTGATTGTTTTAGAGGGCAGAATAACACTGATATATGGCATTAGAATTGACAGTATGTGTAATTTGCATTATTTTCTGTCTATAAAATTATCAGTATTTTAAGGGTTACTGATTTACAAATGACTTTCAGTACTGTTATTATTATACATTCCTAAAAACATATTATTAATTGTGCCAATGGATACAAAGCCTTTTTGCAATCTGAACATGTTTTTTACACAATTTAAATCAAGTATTTAAAAAAAAAAAAAAAAAACTCAGACAATGATGCAAAATAAATAAATAAAAAATAAACATTGTTTCTAAAACTACTAAACCTTTTCATTATTATTTTAGCAACTATTGCACATTTTTACGTTTTCACCCGTCCCAAAAACATATAATTTCAGTCATTGTTTTCAGATGAATCACATTTCTTCCATGGACTAGTACTGTAATTCACTCACCTCTCAGCGCTGACATACTCGTCCTCGATGGGCACACATGGCACCTTCCCCAGCCTCACCCCCATCTGGATGTCCTTGAACTGCAGACCCAGGTTTTCACCCAGGATGGTCACTCTGGTGCCGCCCTGACGAGGCCCCGTCTCTGGGAACAACTGCAATACAGAAAATCATATAGGTTAGATATACAGTAGATTATAAAGTCTATTGAATTGGTTTATATGGAATGATAAAACCTTTGATTTCCAATCACACAGAGTTACATGGAACGAGTCAGGACAGTTAAGTAAGTGTACACATAAAATTAATTACCAGAAAAATACATGCTGATTGCTAATTAGCATATAAAATATTTTTACAGATTAGCAACACAAGCTTTAAAAAATAAAATTCAGAACTGACAAAGCCCTTGTGGATGTTTTTTGTGAACATATTTTACATAGTTTTAGAAAAAAAACAAACATTACTTTAAAGGTGGTTAAAGGTAACTTTTCTGGTGGGCGATCTGTCAAATGCTATTGTCTGGAATGTTTTACAGGTATATGGTATTAACCTTTCTATTATCATGGAGACCAAACCAGGCAGAGACAGACAGAGAGGTAATCCCACTCGCAGTCAGAATTCCTGTTTTTTTAAGTATTTTTGTGCTCTAAAACCACCTGCAATTGAATAAATGTAAGGTAGGGCTGTTTAAAGAGCCATTAAACACCCTCCTGAAGCTTTACTCCACCCCTAAGCAAAATCTGAAAAATCCTCCAGAGTGGGCAGTGACCAGTGGGTTGGCAGAGCGGGTGTGGGGCGGTCTTTGGAGCAATGATTGACAGCCGACTGACAGCCACAACAATCCAACATGGCACAGACCGGTGCGCTCCGGACTTTGAAACAGAGTGGACATTTGTGCTTGGATCACGCAGTTTCTTTTCTCCAGACACGGCGGGACATCACAGTGACCAGCAGTGCCAGGTAGGGGCGGGGTTGAGAGGGGCTCCTCACATACCACCCATAGACGCTAGTGTCTGTGCTCATCAAGTAATAACCTACATCTGGCTCATTGGTGACTGTAAGTCCAACCCAAAAAAACTTAATGTACTGGCCATAGTTGATCCTAAAGAGGCTGCTACAGACATGACTTTTGACCCAAAAGTCAGATTTTTAACAAATATGCACTAAAATAAGGCCAGAGATAGGTATACATTTCTATTTTACACCCATTTACACAACTAATCAGTAGAATATTTTGGTGTTTAGTGGCTCTTTAAAGTCATCGTAGGCAGAGCAATTATATATATCAATAGAAACAAGCAGGTTACAGACCCTCAATCAAAAAGTTACATAGTGAACCTTTAAATTTGAGAGTCAGGTCTGCCTGTGAAATGCTCCATTTGTTCCACAACTTAAGATATTTCAGCTTCTTGTTATATGCAACAAGTTTGAGGACTTTTTTCGATTCAAAAGAAGCCGTATTTTGTGTTACAACAGCCCTAATATCTCACCATTCTGAGACCTATGGTTACAACCTTGGCCATGAGAAAATACCTTGAGCATCCGCTTATACTCTGCATGTTTACGCTACGCAACATGCCACATAAACGTGTTTAAAGAACCACTCCGGTGCGGTGACCCCTAAACACAAGGCTGCTCCATGAACCTATAATACGCTACACACAACATAAACATGCATCTACATCAAATGAAGCCATAATGAAGAAAAACGACCTACTTTTTCCCCCTAAAAAACTTGTGTGACAAACCCGGCCGCTGCCTAAACCCGTGCCCGCCACAGCATCGAAGCGTCCTAATTGAAAGTCATTACGCGCTGGCTCGGTGACGGTGGCTGTAGCTTGGTAACGCTCGGTTGCTCTCAAACATAATGTGATTTATGTGGCCAGATTATGATGCGTAACGGGGACAGGTGTGCGCTGACAAAACAAACGGCATGACGGATGGACGCCGCTGTCAGACGCTCGCTACATGGTTATCCGGGACCTAACAAGCAGAGGGAGGTGATTACGCGCTGCAGGCTTGGCTAGCTGGCTCTACTGCGGACTAGACTGGAGGAGAGAGCCGGGGGAGGGATTTTCAAGCAGTGTGTTTATTAGGAATGACAGGATCAAGATGCACAACTAATGGTAATGGGGGATTGGTGATCTAGAAAAATGTGCATTGGTGAGGTGGTTTTGGTCAAGCAGAGATGAAGAGTTGATTGTCAGATAAGAGGCTATTGCTACTCCATTATCTTCTAGTTAAGTTTAAGTTAAAGGGCAGAAAATGAGCACTTGTGAAATGTGATGAACAAAGTGGACTTTTGCTGAAAACAGCCACTAGCATGCTAACGCTGTAATATCTTAAGAATTACAGACTCTAATGGTAATGAGAGATTAGTGAATGTGAGGTGCAGTTTTTTGTCAAGCAGAAATTCCAGAGTTTGATTCAAGTGTTAAAGCATAATGTTAATGTTAAAGCACAGTAAATGAGCACTTAGAGAGTAAGTTAGTGCTGGAGTTTACTTCTACCTTGGCAAAAGTAGTCCTAATCTTTTTTTTTTCTAAATTGAGGGACAGCAAGCATTGGTCTTCACAAAGGGGAAAAAAATAAATAAAAATCAACACTGGCACTAAAAACAAGCCAATAATAATTATTAATTTAATATAGAGGCATGTTTGTTAACTAAGCTTAATAATTCAATAACATTTTAAAGACCATCAATGCTAATACAAGTGCTATCTTAAATTTTAAGGGAAACAGTGGAACACAACTCCCCTGCAGCCTGAGGCAGCTGTGCATATCATGGATCTATAATAAACACTGGATAAGGCATTCCCCTGCTGTCCCAGCTCGAGACCAACTAGTGGCCGCTCCAGGTACCACAGCTCCCAGAAGCTTGGGCTCAGGAAGAATTCTCCCATAGAAGCACAAAGCATTTTGGGGGAATTCAGACTGCCCATGTTCAGCTGACAGGCCATCGATAACTTTCACAAAGGTTGGATTTTGTAAGGATTCTTTTCTATTTTCACAACATAAACTTTTTAAACATTTTAAATCCTTAAAGTTCACTTAGCTTTGTAAGACTTGGCCTAGCCCCGCTCTGAGCCCGCACTAGCTCTGCTCTAGCAGCTCTTGCTTTGATTGGTCCAAACGCTCCATGTCATGCATGTTACCTACATCGCAAGCGTGGAAGGAGCTTGCCCGTATTGAGGAAGTAAATGTGGAAAATAAAATCTTTTTTGGGCTCATGCATCAATGAGCACAGGCCACTGAAAACAATACGACGCCATCTTGGGTTCACCTTTTAGATTTTATTATAGTCTATGGGACACATGTACAGCAAGGTGTGTCACGCTAATTATGTCCTCTACACAACAGCTACAAAGTGGAACCTTAATACATAGTAATAAATGTTAATAGCAAAATTTAAAAACAAAGTTATTCAAAATGTAAAAAATATTTAGCTACACATGCATTTTGAGTTTAATATTAAAGGCACTGTTTGCCGTCTTAAAAGTATTGCTGTAGCACATCTGCTAACAACAACTAGCATGCTAACAGTGCATTATCCTGACTTTATGGCTTGGCTATCTAGCTGCACAGCAGACTAGACTAGAGGAGAGATTTTCAAGCAGTGTGTTTATTAGAAATGACAGAATCAAGATGCACGACTAATGGTAATGAGGGATTGGTGATCTGGAATGTGCATTGGCGGGTGCATTTTTGGTCAAGCAGAAATTCCCGAGAGATTATTTATTTATTTATTTTTTGTAAATTGATTCACGGGGACCAAAGCGTATCAGCGCTAAGGCCTGATTTTTTGTGACCTAATTTTTCAGGTTGTTCTAATAAAATCATAACTCACTGAAACGATTAGTGATTCGCCAGAAATCTCCGCAAATCCAACAGTCACGCTTGCCTGCAGTTAGCACACTTCCAGAGCCAGCAGTGGTTGTATGAGGAGATTCCAGGCCTCACAGAGCTGGGCCCGCTCTAACCGGAGGGGAGAGTTCTGGCTTGGGATAAAGCTGTTTGGAAGCTGACTCATGTTGGGACCTCCGGCGCCAGAATCGCCTCAGCACAGGAACACAAAAGCCTGGTAAAGACTGACCACGGCTACAACTACACTACCCATAATGCTTCGGGGCGTGATATGCACAACGGACATCCTGCAGAGAAAAACGCATACACTACAAAAACTAAAATCTTGGCAAATTCAAATGACTTGAAATAAAAACATGAAATAAAATTATCTACCAATGGAACAAGTCTTTTTGTAGTTGAAATAGGAAACTGCACCTAGTTATACTGAAAGGTAAGAAAAACAACAACACTTTGCACTTAAAATACAGACAGATTTTTGAGCGCCATGTACCACATAAAATCGGCTTGAGGTCAGTAAGTACAACCAGAATTAATACATAAAGCGCACTGTCAATTTTTGAGAAAATGTAGGATTTTAAGTGCACCTTATAGTCTGATTAATACAATATATCTTAAAGGTGCACTGTGTAACATGGAATTGTTATTGCTTTGTTTGGAATATCGCACTGTATGGCATTAAACATATTTATCTCAAATAGGTGATGTAAATACGCCATGTTACAGGTAAGATCTGCAGAGAGGCAACCCCGCTCACATTAATAATAATAATACATGATTTTCTGAGGTATTTTGAGCCAAATACCAGTAATCTACAGTAATACATGGAAAATGGAGAACTTGAATGCCATAATGTGGAACAAACCAAGCTCCGCTGAGACTAGAAAAGTTACATGTTAATTTGAGTAACTGGAACTTACTCAGATAACATTACTTTTTGCAGTGTAGACCTCCGCAGGGCGTAAACAGTAGCAGAGACAAACAGAGAGGCAGAAGAGCCGGAGGGGTGGGGGAGGGTTCAGGCTGGTGCAGGGGATTAACAGAATCATCGCGGGGAGCAAGGGAGCGCAATTAAAAGCACCACGCTGCATACATGATCAGGGTGTACGAGTAGCATGGAGCGTCTCTGGTGGAAAAGCTCATAGATATAACATTGTGTGGCTTCATTCACTCCAGTAACAATAGCGCAATGTCAATACTGTAGCTGCAGGTCTGTTGTGAATGTGAGGGAACTGAGAGCTTTGATTTGGTTGGTGTTTGTTAATGGTGTTCTGTGTAACTCTTCTGA